CGGGCAAACGCCTTGAGTCGTTGCTCCATCACTTGTTGCGGTGACACTGGCACTATCCGTGGCCTGTCCCACGAGTCTGGAGAGCAAGAAGAAGGACGGACGTGTAGCTTATGTTGAGCTGTGAGGGGAGAGTGCTTTAAACCCTCCTCTGTGTTTATTTGGAAGTATTGTCTTCTAGTTTCTCACAGGTGTCTCTCTTTTATTTAGGAGTGGCTATGAGGCTGCTTCCAAGCACTTCAATCCAGCTGATGTGGAGGTGAACGTGGCTGGAAGATCCTTTCTGGTCACTGGCGCAAACAGTGGCATTGGCAAGGCGACGGCCAAAGAGATAGCGAGGAGAGGTGAGCTGGGCTGTAGTGAGGAGCTCTGAGGGGTGGTTGCAGAGAAGATGGAAGGAAGGAGGTTTGGCCTTCCAGCACAAACACAAAGATGCAACTCCCTGGGATGAGGGGTCAGGTGTGTTATTTTACAGGGCTGTTAGCGTGGGTTAGAGGCTTAAACATGATCAGTGTTGTGAAAACTGGAATAATGAAACCAAATTAGCGGAGAGGATCTGCAAAGCGTTTCTCAAGTGCATGTTTACTGAAACTTATTTGTGTTAGAGTGGCATCTAAGGATGTTGGTGATGGATCAACATCTGTTTAAGGCTGATTTGGTACAAGTAGCAGCCTGGCTGAATTTGAACTGTTTTGAAGAACTTACGAATGTATCATGTGATGAAGGAAAACAATTGGCTTTGCTAAACTGAAATGGAGGAGTATAAAAGCAGCAACATAGTTGTGCTTGATGTTAATGATAGTAACTTGGGAGTTTATGCCCTTTAATTGATTACATGCGACCATTTTTTCTGTTGTTCTCCGTAAGCAAGGAGACGGTATGAACTGGAACTAGCTGCTGCTAAAGGATAAACCTAATCCCTTTCAGAGTTGACAAAATAATTCCTGTTGTGCAAGAGTGATAGGAGTTTTGGCATGTAGAATAAAAGGGAGGAGCTTGCAGCTCTTTGCTCTCTCTTTGCCTGCTTAGGTTTCCTAACTATCTTATGAAGGAAAGTGGCAACTTGGTTAAATTAAACTAACTAAGAATTATTAGCATCAAAGAGCCTTTGGGTTAAAGATCCCTATCAGTGCCAGTATGTGATTGATTTCAGGTTCCCACTACTGCCATTATGTATAATAGCCTTATGTAAGTATTGCTGTTTTGCTCACAAATGAACGTGCCTGCCAGGTTTTGCAAGCTGTCAGGCTGACTGGATCTGCATAGCGTTTGGTCACCGTGTCTAGTATTTGGACCCCAAAGAACAATCTTGAGCTCAGACTGCTTGTCTGATGCCTTGCATGGGCATTGCTATGCATATGAAGTTAAAACGACTTAAGAGTGTCTTCTTGATCCTATCCTTGGATGTGTTGCTCTGAAACTCAGTGTTAGCTGTTGGAGCTCTGGCTTCTAGATGAACCTCTTCAAGTACACTGTGACAAGAAAATAAGGAATTCAGACTCAGCAAAAGAATAACCAAGCTATGTTGGCTTTACATTCAAGCACTTAAGATCTCTGTATATAATGATGGTCTTGATGTCAATTTCTTTAGAAGGCCAATGGCATCCTGGCCTATATCAGCAGTAGTGTGGCCAGCAGGACCAGGGCAGTGATCGTCCCCCTGTACTCGGCACTGGTGAGGCCGCACCTCGAGTGCTGTGTTCAGTTTTGGGCCCCTCACTACAAGAAAGACCTTGAGGTGCTGGAGCGAATCCAGAGAAGGGCAACGAAGGTGGTGAAGGGTCTGGAGCACAAGTCTGATGGGGAGCAGCTGAGGGAGCTGGGGGTGTTTAGCCTGGAGAAGAGGAGGCTGAGGGGAGTCCTGATCGCTCTCTACAACTGAAAGGAGGTTGTAGCCAGGTGGAGGTCGGTCTCTTCTCCCAGGCAACTAGTGACAGGACAAGAGGGCATAGTCTGAAACTGCGCCAGGGGAAGTTCAGGCTAGAAATGAGGAGGCATTTCTTCACGGAAGGGGTCATTAGGCATTAGAATGGGCTGCCTAGGGAGGTGGTGGAGTCACCATCCCTGGAGGCGTTCAAGAAAAGACTGGACGTGGCACTTAGTGCCATGGTCTAGTTGACATGGTGGTGTTAGAGCAAAGGTTGGACTCGATGACCCCAGAGGTCTCTTCCAACCAAATCGATTCTGTGATTTAGTCTGAGTTCAGCTTTTCTCTGAATCAGTGTCTTATGGGTATTGCAGATTTGGGCTTCCCTGTATGTCTTGTGAACTGCACTTCCAGTTTGATGCAGTCTTCTCCCAACTGTTCTGACAATTCCCATGTGTTGTTTAAGTTCAAATAATTTCAATCTTCACCGGGGAAAATTTATTTAAATACCTTTCCTAGCCCATAGGTCTCACCAAAACTTTCCTCTCTCCTTAACAGCAAGAAAAAAATTCATAGTCAAAGCCCTTAAGCTCCACCTCTTTTCACTGAATGTTTTCCACTGTAAACTATGAGAATGTTCCTAATCAGCTTGAAGGTCAGCTCCGCATTACTTGTGTTGTCCCCTGTCGTTTTGGGAAGAGCTCCTTCAACATCTGCAAATGCACATCCTTAACTGCCTTAAGATCTGCAATTAAAGCCTGCCTTTGCAGTGAAGCCTGCAGTCACTGTGAGAATGGCCAAAGAAGTGAGCATTGGACACTGCCCCTTCTGATTGCCTTTTCTCTCACTCATGAAATGTGTTCTTTCTGAGGCGAAGACCGTCTTTCATTCTGATCTGTATATATACAGAGCCTGTCTGCGCACGCTCCCTTCCATGTATGGTATATGTGTAACACAAACTGAAGATGAAACTGTATTAAACATTGATTAGTGTCATCTGTATGATTACATGCCTGCAGTTGTGCATTTGGTAAAAGTACCCCAGCCAACTCTGGCAGTGCAGTGGAGGAATCAAACCCTGTTAGAAAATTTCAGAAAAACCTTGAGGGTTGTTGCCTGCGTCAACTGCATGCCAAGTGCACTTACCGTAGTGGTGCTCAGTGGAAAAACCACTCTCGTAGACAGAAAATTTCATTATCAGACCCCACACTGGGTTGTGCAGTGTGCGACTGCTCTATCCCTAGGGTAGACTTGATGTCTTGCAATTGGATTCTGGGAAGTAGAAGAGTGACCCGGCACTGTTTTTTCTATTATCGATCCTTTGGGATTGGTCATTGCTTGAGCCTTCTAGTGGTGGACTGCTAGAAACCCCTAAAACACCTTTAAAAATAGGTAAAAGTAAAGAGTGCAGTTACGCCTGTGACTGAGATTAACACGTTACTAGTAATGATCAGAGAATACGAAGCATAAAAATGAAGAAGAATTATGCCTACCTGTACTTTAGTCCTCTTTTTGAAGACTCACTTTAATGTGTCTAAGTTATGAGGTCATGATAAGTATCCAGGCCTTTGAGAGGAGCCTTGCCCTCTCTATTCCTTTCATAGAAAAGTTGGTTGAAAGGGACTTCTAAAGATCATCTTGTCCGGCATCTCACTTGATGCAAGACTGTTGCCAACACTAGATCAAACCAGGCATTGCTTTGTCTTGCTGGATCTTGAAACCTGCAAGGATGGAAATTATGCATCCTCTTGGGACAGCCCGATCATTTAGAAGAAAACTAGCAAAAGTGTTTTTTCTTAATGCGTGACCTGAGCCTCTTAAGCTGCAATTTGTGGCCATGGTCCTTGTGGTATCTCCCACTGCCAAGAGGAATTCTAGTATCTGGCATTTTTATTTGCTTTTCACAGAGCAATTCCAGTCACTTGTGTTGTTCAAAGCCTTTATTGAACTTTTGGCATGTGCCAAAAATAAGCATTTACAATACAGATGCTTTAGCTTCACTTTCCAGTGTAACTCTGGTATTTTATCAACACTAAACATGATGTGCAGACTTGACAGAAAATAGTTTGAGCAGACAGTACCTAGAGTGTAGCGGCCTGTTCTATACATGCAGCCTTATGTGAGAACCCTGTTACAGCATGATACTTTCTCCTGCCTGCCTGCCTTCAGAGGGACCAGAAATCTTCCAGCTTTCTTATTTTATCCACTCTTTGTGTCCTGAACCTTTTATTTGAAGGACCTTTACCTCTGTCCTTTGACAGGTCCTGATGGAATTCTTGATGTGTCCTGTCTGGCTGATGGCACAGCTGGATCAGCACCTTTTGGGGCGGGGGGGGTTGTCCCTGAGAATGGCCCAAAGCTGGTGGAGCTGGGACTGCCACGGGGTGCTGTGGCCGTAACCAGCTCCCAGCTCATCAGCAAGTGTCGCAGGAGCCCTGAGAGCTCCACAGACCTGAGCTTCAGCAGCATTGATGAAAAGCCGCCGCTCAGCTCTTGGCAGCAGAGAAGTGGAGCTGTTGGCTGTGCACAGCTCAAGAACATTCTGCCTGCTGAGAAGCTCCCATGACATTTAGGTGACCATCTGACCAGTATTGCCACCACTACTAGCAGGCTATGGATTTCCCACAAAGCTAGAACACAATCACAAAAGGGGGTTTGTTTCATTTGGATTGCAAATTGCGCATCGCTTCCTGGCCCGCCCTCTTTGCTGATGGCCCCCCCAAACACAGTTAGTAATTAATTATCAAATGTATTTCTTATTAAAATCCACCAGGTGGCACGGTGCATCTGGTTTGCCGAAATAAGGAACGGGCTGAGGTTGCCAAAGGAGAAATAGTAACAGAAACGGGCAATCAGGTGAGTTGTTTTTCAGTCTTTTTTTTTTTTTTTTTCGCCCCCCAACTCTTCGAAAGAAAGATTTTTAGTATTAATGACCTCAGAGGCCTTGAGATACTTTGTTTCATCATTTTGCTGTTGTGTTTTTAATAGTATTTTCATACGGACATGGAAACATCTAGTAATTTGTCATCTGTATGGTTTGAAGTGATTTAATTTCACTAGGTGATGTTTTCTGTGATTAGTAGCATCACCGGCAGCATGCTGGTTTGTTTGTTGTCTATATGTTTTGTGATGTCCTACTTACAATTCCTAACCATGTGACTGAGGCTTTTAAAAGTTAATGCATTGCAACACTCTTGCAACAACATTTAGGAGTCTACAGCATTGGAGTTGAAGGTTTTATGTGTCTGAATAGCATGCTCTTGATTTGCTAAGGTTGGCTGCTCTGTGAAGTCCTATGTGTGGTCCTAGTTCCATGCTCTACATACTTTTCCATCTTCTTTTCCTATAATATCTCTTCCTTACCTCCTCCTTTTGCTTCTGCATACAGTATACTCCTGTAGCTGTCACTGTTGCTTTTGCTAATTATTCAGGAGGGTGTGCTTATGGAGAAGTGTAGTCATTGTCTTTCTGTCTTGGTGTATTGGTTTTGCCTGGGATAGAGTTAATTTTCTTCATAGTGGCTCCTATGGTGCTGTGTTTTGGATTTGTGACTAAAACAGTGTTGACAACCCATGTTTTGGTTATTGCTGAACAGTGCTTGCACAGCATCAAGGCCTTTTCTGTTTCTCACGCCGCCCCACCAGAAAGTAGGCTGGGGGTGCACAAGGAATTGGGAGGGGACACACTGGGACTGCTGACCCCCACTGACCAAAGGGATATCCCGTACCGTATGATGTTGTGCTCAGCAATAAAACCTGGAGGAAGAAGGAGGAAGGGGGAACATTCACAGTTATGGTATTTGGCTTTCCAAATCACTGTTGCATGTGATGAAGCCCTGCTTTCCTGGGGGTTGCTAAACACCTGCCTGAGAATGGAAAGAAGTGAATGAATTCCTTATTTTGCTTTGTTTGCACGCACAGCTCTGCTTCACTTATTAAACTGTCTTTATCTCAACCCACAAGTTTTGTCTGTCTTACCCTTCCAATTCTCTCCCCCATCCCACTGGGAGGGGAGTGAGCAAGTGGATGTATGGGGCTTAACTGCCTACCAGGGTTAACCCACAACACTTGGATGGAGAACTGTCTTCATTTAAAATAGTGACTTTTCTCTTGAACACAGTATTTTGATTCCAGTAATAGTTTTTAATGTGGATCAAAAATTCTGAAGACTTTTTATGGTTAGAGATACCATATTGACTAAATTTCTGCTCTTTGGTTTCAGCTCCCTGGTGTGACACAACCAGCATTACACTTCAGTTCTTTAATGGAGGTGAATTAGATCTGTCCTTATGTAGAAATAAATAGTTTCCAGCTGCCTATAACTGTGTAATCCCGTGGCTATAGTAAGACTGCTGATTATCCGTGTTACCTCCTTTTCTAACTGCAGTCAGACAGCCTGGGAAGAGGGGTGAATTTGACCTCTGAAGGTTCCTTCGTGTTCTGTTTTCTGTCATATACTGAAACAAAACTTGAGGCAAATAATGTTCTTCCTCTAAAAGCAGCACAATTACTGCAGTCCCACATTTTGGTAGGCTGCAAACTTGTGGTTTCTCTAGTCATGAAAGGGTATGAGGGCACTGTAGAACTCGTTCATAACCCTGGGGACAGGGCACTGGTATAGAAAGCAGCATTCAGTGAAGTGTTAGACGAGCTGTACAAGAAGCCCTGTGGGACATGTGACTGCACTGGGAAGAGTCATTTTAATAAGAAGTCCACGAGAACATCCTTCTTTATAAGAACTCATCCAGAAGCAATCCAGGGAGATAATAAAGTGCTTTATCTGCAACTTGACAAGCTGTATCCAGACTTAACTTGCTCTTCCTGATCGTCTGGACAGAGATCCTGTTGTAGTATACGCCAAAGATATTTTTTTTTTTTTTTTCCCCCCCATCTCCCACAGCAACACGTACTGGAGTTCATTGCTGAAATGGAGTCAGTATTTGGCAGGCACCTGCACCTAGACTTGGGAACTGGGAAGTTCTCCTAATCTGTTAAAGCAGATCTAGTCACGGAGATTAGGTCTCGCTTTGAAAATGGCTTTGCTACCATCAAGGGTTCTTATAGGGAAACAGGCCTGTGGGTCGTTTTTCTCAGCCAATGTGACAGTCTTGATCAGATAAGTGTTACTTTAGATCTTTTTCAGTCTCTGAAATCACTTGTAATATTGAATGTCTGCCCAAAAGACTTCAGTTCTTCTGTACCAGTAGATAATGGTAGTAGCTTTGAAAGTAGAAAGCTTTTAGAGATGTATTCAGTTAGAAACAGTAGAGCAGTGTCAAGTTTTTGGTCAGAAATGAACATTACGATGAGAAAATTCTGACCTAACTCAACTGAGGAGCTGAAATCCAACGGCTAGAGTTTTTTGTATTTTTTATCTTCAGGGAAGAAGAATTATAGGCAGGGAGTAATGTCTTATAATTTTCTCAGCTTCTTCACTTATGTCATTTGCTTGTATAGTGAGTATTTAAAGAAACAACTTGGAAAGAGGGGAGGCCCTTTAATGATTATTTTTTGTTTTGCATGAGAACACATCCTCTGCATAATTATTTTAAAACTGCCTTTTCCTGGAATACGTCATAAGACTAACTGTGGTGTGTCTTTGAGACTAAGTGCTATCTAGGAGAAGAGTAGGAGTTGATGTCCCTTTTGTATGCTGATAAATGCCACTGTGCTTGTACTAGGTAGAACACAAATCTGCAAAAAGCAGGAGAATTGGCTGTAACAAACAGTAAAAGGTTTTTGATGATTTGGAGAGAGGAAATATTTCTAGGTTTAGTGGTTTAGAGAATTCTAACTTTGTTCTGTGTCAAAATCTTCCTTTTTTTTTTTTCAAATTCTATTGCATCCATATTCCTAGCCACAGTACTTCAAAACATTGCAAGACTGTTGTGACATGGGGTGCCTAACAAGGACTTAGCAGTTAGCACAGAATGGGGGGCAGAAGGCCCCTGACACCCTGAGACAGCTGGAGGGGGCGTAGTGATGCACCCAAAAGCGTGCTGTCCTGCCCTGGTTGGAGCAACTGCGCCTGGCACGTGGGAGGCTTGCCCAGACAGAGCTCCAGAGGAATGATGTGGCAGATGTCGAGCTGCAGGGAGTGACAGGTACTTTCCCCTGAGCCTGGGGCAGAGCGTGATGGTGGCCTCATCTGTTGGGTTCTGCTGTGGTCAAGGTGCTGGGCTGCCAGGTGAAGCGATGGCAGGAGACAAGCAGGCTGCATAATCATAGGGAAAAGAAACAGGAGATTGATAGGGTCTTCGCAGAGAGTAGAAGAGTACAAAGCCCACATTGCATGGAAGGAGGGACAGCTGGAAGCTATGCTTGAATAAGCAGTGGATAGAGACTCCCAAGATGGGAAGGAATGGAAGCTTGTGACTGCTGGCAACAGAAGGCAGGCTCGTTCTCTGCCTGCAGATGTGCATTTATAGGATAGGTATAGTGCCATGGTAACAGATGAGGAAGAACAAGCTCTGTCAGGGGAGGTGTTGGAGACAGATGAGCCTGAACTGTTATTGCCACTCGGAGGAAGTGGTGGGTGATAATGGCTGGAGGCTCCCTCCTGTGGGGGATGGAGGCACCCATCTGCAGTCTTGGCTTGATGTCTTGAGAGGTTTGTCACTTGCTGGGGACTCAGCTCTAGCGTATTGTGGAAAGTCTGCCGAGGCTTGTCTGGACCCCGGACTAGTACCTCTTGTTGCCCAACCACATGGGCACCCATGATGTTGTGAGGGGTGACCCTGAGTTCATAAAGAGTGCTTACAGAGGGTGAAGGGCATGGCAGCCCAAGTAGTGCTCTCCTAAATCCTTCCGGTGAAGGGGAAGGGCTTGGGTAGGAGCATACACATCCTGCAGGTCAACACCTGAATGTGCAGCTCATGTCACTTTGGCCTTTGTCACTTTGTCTTTGGCCTTTATGACCTTTTTGACCTTCTCTGAGAACCGAGCATTGCTGAGAAGGAATGATAAAGTGCACCAAGATTATCTTTGCCAACAGGTTTGCTAAGCTACTGAGGAGGGCTTTAAACTGGTTTCACTGGGGGATAGTGACTAAACCCAGAAGAGTAGTGGAGTCATGAAGACAGTAAGTACCTGTCTAGGGGACAGCAAAATGGAGGAGACTGTCACAGTTTTCATGTGAAAGCAACATGACTGGGAGCCCACCTCTCACAGATACTTGTACATGAATACCCAGAGCATAAGAAACACAGGAATCCATGCCTGGTTGCAGAGCTGTGATCTCACTCGGATTAGAGAGTTACAGTTGGCATGACTAGAGTGCTGGAATGGATATATACAGGCCCTTTTAGACTGGCAAGCTGGGAAGACAAGGAGGAGGAGTTGTCTTCTATGCAAAGGAGTGGGTTGAATGCATGGAGCTTTGCTCTGAAATGGGTAATGAGCCAATTGACAGCTTATGGTAAGGCACAGAGGTCAGATCAATGCGGATGGCGTCATGGTGGGTGTCTGCTACAGACTGCCTTATGAAGTAGAGGGAGTAGATGGAACCTTTTTTAGAGGGCTAGGGAGGCCCCGTGATGACAGGTCCTGGTTTTCGCAGAGCACTTGAATCACCCTCATACCTGCTGGCCATGCAGCAGGGCATAAACAATCCAGGAGATTTCTGGAGAGCATCGAGGACAATTTTTTTATGAGTGTTGGACAAGCCAGCAGGTCTGCTGGACCTGCTATAAATAGCAGTCTTGAATAGCTGCCTTGGTGGAAGTGGCTATGAGATTGTGGAATTTAAGATCAAGACATGTGAGAAGGTTGAGTAGTAGATTTACAATCTTTGGTTTTATGAAAGCAGATTTTGTCTTTTTATGGCTGTGGTTGGCAGGATCCCCATGGGAGACAGCCATGGAGAGCAAAAGGCCTTGGGAAAGCTGGTTGAGCTTCAAGGGAAACCTCCTCAAAGTGGGAGATGCTTCCTGTTAACTGGGAAAAGGCAAGCCACTCATCTTCGCAAAAAGGCAAGCAGGATTTGGGGAACTACAGGCTGGTCAGCCTCACCTTGCTCCCCAGGAAAACTATGGAGCAAATCCTCATGGAAGCCATGAAAGACAGGAAGGTAACAGAAAAACACCGTGGGTTTATCAAGGGCAAACCTGGGCTGCCTGTCCCCATTGCTGCCTTTGGTGAGGTGACTGCCTATGGACATGAGGAGAGCGGTGCTTACCACTTTCCTTAACTTTGCCAAGGCTTTTCACATGGTCTGCTGTAGTATCCTTGTAGGTAGTTTGGAGAGTTGTGGTTTGAACTGGTGGATGACAAGCTGGGTGGAAAACTGGAACATTTGGCTTGGAAAGTAGCAATCAACAGTACAAAGCTGATCTGCTAACAATTTTTAGTGGCATCCCCCATGAGTCAATACAGGGGCAAAAACTGTTTAACGTCTCTTTTAACAGCTTGGACAATGGAGTGAAGTGCAATCTTTGTCAGAATGCAGATGATCTCAAACTGGGGGCGGGGGGGTGGAGCTGGAGAGCAGGGCTGCTATTCAGAAGGATTTAACAGGTGAAGAAGTGGGCTGGCATGAACCTCATGAAGTTCACCAAGAGCAGATGCACAATCCTGCCCTCGGATAGAGTAACTCCATGGAGCGGTACAAGTTGGGAGTAGCTGGCTGGAAAGCAGCTTTGCAGAAAAGGACCTGGAGGTGCCAAGTTGTCCCTGAGTGAGCAGTGTGCCCTGGGGCAAGGAAGGCCAACCACATCCCAGGCTGTATCAACACGAGCATAGCCAGCAGGCTGAGGGAAGTGCATCTTCCTCTCTATTAAGCCTTTGTGAGACCACAGCGGGAGTCCTGTGCCCAGTTCTGGGCTCCCCAGGATAAGGAAGTCATCAGTGTCCTGGAGTGAGTCCAGTGGAGGGCTGCCAAGGTGGCTAGGGTGATGGGACACATGAAGGGGCAAGGAGAGGCTGAGAGGGCTGGTTTTGCTGAGTGTTAAGAAGAGAAGGCTGAGATGGGTCTTAGTGTAGTCTACAGCCACGTGCTGGGAGGGTGTAGGG